ACTCCTGGGGTATTCGGTGCCTCCGACGGGTTTGAAGCTCAGACCCACAAGTAACATTCGCTGCGGAATGCATTGTTCACCTAGTCTGATCCCACTGCTTATCTACATTACCATGTTGAGATGCGCTTAGCTCACGCACTAGCTCTGACTCATAGATTGCACCACCTTCTGAAACAGATTGCCGATGATGAGCTATACGAGTTTGCTGGTTCTGTTGCCAATCAGTCAGTCGGAGAGTGAAATGCATCAAAACTAATCCGTGGTCAGACTCAACGCAGGTGATCCAATAGGACCTGCAATTTTTGTCGGAGCTTCGGCTCATCCGAATGAGATCGGTGAGTTCATCGTAGAAAGCGTCCTTTTTTTTGCATCACAACTGCAATTGGTCGGTGCATATGCTGATACGGTGAATAAAAAACACCTTTTGGTGTTTCTTCTCTCCCGGACGCTGATTGATGGACGATGCTTAGCCATCTCACGCAGAATTTCATTGGGCTGATTCCGAGATCCCGTGCAGGGCAGTCTGACACGACCCCATTGATTGATCGTTTAATCGTAATGGTGAACGATGTCATGAAAAACAAGGTAGTGAGACCCCTATTTCTTCAAGTGTGTCTTTATGAAAAAGCGATCGGCAGTTCGGGCCAAACTTGCTGTCAGCTAGTGTGCTGCTGACAGATATTTGGTGCCACTATTTTTGATTGGATGCGTTTTCCCACTGATAGTCATGTATCGTTTCCAAGTTGGTGCTATGGTATATATTATGCAATAGAATGAAAATTTTCAACTGTCTACTTTATTTTTGCTATTTGAAAAGCGCTCGCAGCTGTCGTTTGGTCGAGTGCACGCTTTTGTACACCTGGTATGTCAATACAAACCGGAAGAGTTGTTAACCTCTCATTTCCTTCTTTGTTCTGTTCGTACTTCTAGATGACCGCTGAAGAGCAAAAGATTGAGGAATTACTAACTGCAATGGAACCGAAATTAGCCATCAGTCAGAATCGTCTTTCACTCAATGCGGGATCGGACAAGCGTGATTCGACGAAACTCGAAACAGAAGAGATCCCTACGCGAAATCGTTTGGCTATCTGTGATACTGAGATCGTGAACCACAGCAATTCATCAGAAGTTTTTTGTGAACCTGAGGTATGTCGGGCGTTCTAATCTTTGTTTTCGTTCCAATATCGAAGTGTCTTACCATTCTGTATGGTTATGTACGGTCAGATGGCGAATTCCGGATCACTGTTAGCTGATCGGCGTGGAAATTGATGAGAATTCGGTTCATTGCTTTTTTTATTGTCGGCGATTTTTGGGGGCGTGGTGTGTTTCGCCTCACAAACGGTATCTTTTCAACAGACAACCATAAATGCATGCAGAACCCGTAACTTACACGAGGATGACCCGTCACTAAGGGTGGTCATCGTCATCACTCAAATGATATATGGGTGAAATTTAGCTGCACAAGGGTCAGACGTGCATCTTCCCAGAAAAGAAAACGTTTTCTAATACCATCGTCGTACAACTACTTTGTATCAACTGCTCAATAGATCTGGCAAGACATTAGTATTGCGTCTGCACTGGAGATCATTCTGGCGTTAGAGACAATCTTGTATCTATGGGTCGGCTTTATTACCTCAATCTGTTTTCTAGAGTATTTACGCAGCTGCGGAAAATACTTGTCAATGTGGATTGATTTTAATTTATTTATGAGATACAAAGATGCCCATACCCTGGTCTGTCTGACTCGCAGCCCAAGCCGAACTGCGAATTTTCCTTACTGTAAATACACTCAGTAGTTAAAAGATACGGTTAATCAATAAATAATAATAATAATAATATACTTCCTTCTGCATTGCGCCCACGCGCCCGTTCGTCTGTGCCCTGACTACAACACAGACGGTAGTGACATCTGCTAGGACCAAGCGAATGAGACCCGTTAACTAATAACATTCATTTGGGTGTCGTTTACAAAACAAAACAATGGTTCCCTTAGGGCCGAGGACAGAGCACAACGTTAGGGTGTTCCATTTAGCTCACACGCATACACGCACATGCATAGTGGTCAACTCATTTGTCTGGCAGCTCATCCGAGTTTAGGGACCGACCCTTCTGGAGTACGATGATTCACTGTGACACAAGTTGTCCGATTGATCGTGCCACTTAATTGTCGAACGGTTTGAGGGCAAGGGATTACTGGGGTTAAAACATGAAGTAAGCCTTTGAAGCAGAATTAATAGACCTTGATTGATTATGACTGACATTAAACTATGACATTGTGCTGAACCTGGGGTGACTAGGACTTACCCACACAATCACAACAGTCGTTAAATAAACGTCACAATTGCGAGAATGTTGTTAAAATTGATCGCGTGAGGAAAACGTGGGAGTGACTTTTTCTGTAGTGAAAAGATCGTGTGATGGGCGTGAACAGTAGTTAAGTTCATGAGTAACAACGACCGTACTAGTATCGAATTTAGCGACTGGCTTCAATTGTCACCAGCGAAAACAAAAAATGGATCAATGTAGAAGACATGAAAAATGATTTGTCGAAACTCGAGGGAAGATAGTTTCGGTGGGATCTTGCGTAACCAAAAATTTGAACGTTTGAGGAAATGTGAAACCTGTATTTGGAAAGATACATCGATACATCAAGTTCACTTAGAAAAAAATATCCCGGGTATCGGTGTATCTGTTCTAATTTCAAGAACCGTTTTCGATCATCAAGTTACGAAAAGAACGTTTGACCGTTCAGGGGTTCGTACATTGCTGCTGTTGTTGTTATTTATATATATTTTCACACACGTCTGAATCCAGATTGCTGTTGTAGCAATGATTGCAGACATCCGAAGAGTCAATCAGACATGCAGGTGTTCGTCGATAATCTGATAAGAATAATCTTTAATTTTTCACTGTCGAGAAGTGGGTCCATTGATGAGATATTAAGGCTTATATAAAAACCTAGACGTCCCTAACAGCAAAGGCCTTTGACCACTACCGACTACCATTAAACTATTCGGTTGCTGAATGCGGTTCTTGAAAATTTGAAAACGTTTCCCAGTGTCCCTTGAACTTTCCCCGTCAGGTGCGTAAGTGTCTTCTTGTATATTGGTACAAATCCATTGCCTTGCTGATTTATGAAAATAAGTAGGAAAATAGAATTGCCTCAAAGTGTTTTGGGTGTGTTTATACTTCATTGACCTTTTATCACAAACGGACGGCATTCCACATGTTTGATGTCGGGGAATGTGATCCATCACTTCGAAAGGAGGTCGAACTTGTTATTTGGCAGTTCCCGGCGGATTTGTGCATTCCGGCTGATCCTGTGCTAATTTAGGTTTATCCATTGCAGTCATCTGAGGAATCACCTAGATTCGCATGAGTCATTCAATGGTCTTGCATGAATAACATCAATTTTCCCTTTTGATAGCAAATTTTACGGACGAGAAGTGTGCCCATAGGTGCAAAATAATACCCTTAAGTAAAACCCACATGTGCGTAACTTCGGGGCTCCCATCTGGACTGACTACTGGCAAGCGTTTAAGTAGTCAGTTGCTAAATGCGGTTATCTAGAAGACGTTTTTCTTTTCACGCAACGCACTACGCATGCGCTAAGTCTAAGCTGCCCATGTTAATTGCGTTGGACCGATCTTTAGTTTGCTGTTGATACCGGTTGGAGTGGTAAATTTGTTCGTTATTTCAAGTTCTTGTACCTAAGGATTCGATCAGTGAGGAATGTTCCAGAAATTGATCATTCTGCTACGTGACACCATGGCAAGACGTTTTCCACTTTTATGATTTCAAAAGTGAGATGGAGCCGCCACGAAACATATGCGAATTTAGCCGATCGTACTTAACAAGCGTTTATGAGTGAACTGGATGTTTGGTAATCAATGAGAAGGCACATGAAATTCATGTTCAGCTTCGGTCTTGTCTGTTATATACCTTGTTTCAGAACCGGAGACTTTTATCGGGATTTTTTTATCTGCATTTTTTTAACCTTTGATTTCGTCTTTTTTTGCTAGTCATCTCTTTGCGTTGCCTTATGTTTTACAGACAGACACCGGTGATGGATGGGATGAAGCTTGGGATACATTCGCTGACTGATGAAGCATACGTGTACTTCTCCAGTCGCACCCTATATACCCATATCACTCTTGTTTCCCTACTCCGGGCTGTATGGTCCTCTTTCTCATTGTCCGTAATAAAACCGTGCAGTCTTTTCTTTTCATGTTTTTTATTTCTTTTTCTATGATGAATTAGTTCCACTCTGATCTGTTTCAAATATATCCTATGTGTGTATATATAGAGACAAAATGTTTGTCTCGTTACTCTGATTTGCGTAGCTTGTGCTGTTTACAAATTACCTGATCACGCCTAGTATGCTACAGCACTGTCTCTCTGATTCACCGACATTACCTCAACGGAGAGTTTAATAAGAATAGTTTGATTATACACGCTCACACAGGGTCACTGCGCGTTCCGTTACTAACTGGCATGAGCGGTAAAATGTGATTCACTCTGGGAACTAAATTTTTCCCCATACATCTGCATCTGATCTTTTTCTGTGTCATATCCGCACGTTCAAGTGTTAGACTGAATCCTCGTTATCATTCTTCGAGGTTAAATTTCATCAAAATGCATGTCTGTGATGCAAAGAAGGAACAACCATGAGAACGCCACAAAGCACATCACGTTGGGGATGAAAACTGCGAAAGCGGTTTTGAGATTTCAAAGTGGTTGTTATTGGAGAATACGGCTTAGATTCGATAGTACACGCTATCAAAAACCGGGCTTCTTTGCTCGATGAAGTGACTTTCGATGTCGTTCCAATTGTATGCTCTTATGCGAATCAACATACTTTTCTGAATAGCTTTGGGCATTTCACTCACAGTTGAAAGTGTTCTCTCGCATTAGTGTTACCACACAAAGTTGAAACACGCTTAGGGAGAAATTGGGTGCACAATAATATCAGGATTGGTATCTAGAGTTAGTGATTTCCCGATCGTATTCTGTTTCTCAATGGCATGAACTGCAGCTCGAGCGCAATGGGTTAGTCACAAGATGCAAAATGGGACGATTGCAGTAGTTAGACTGGATGTAGCATGTGAAACAACCGGACCACCCCTTTAGGGATGATACGTGATTTTCGGTTTGATGCGTATCGTATCAAGCAGACAGTATGAGATGTTGGTTGGAATGTGTCAATTGTTTGGGCTGACTGGATGATATTTTATGTTGTTCTTCAATCTGGGTTTACCATAGCGCAACGGACAGGTAAGCATAATTTGCAATGTTCGAATCTGATGGGAGTCTATTTGATGAATCTGGGAAGCACTGGAAGATGCGTAGAGCTATTTTCCCTCGTAGAAGCATACTGCTAACGCTGTCGGTTTATCACTCTAACCATGCTAGTGCACAGACGTCCCAGGGGTTCGGAATGGGATTCTTTTTCGACGTCGTGGTGGGTTGGCATACCCGAAATGGAAGTCATTGTACGGTCACTGATCACCTGGCAGATAGCAAGCCGCCTGTGGGAACGAAAGCATGTGCGGAATTCGGACAACTGCGGGGTGTTTTGTACACGTAGACGAGACAACTTGTGTGAATTTCGTCACGTTCTGCTTGTACCACGTCTTTGTGTTAGTTTTGGCACCGTTAGTTTTCCGTGCACCCTCCCTTCCGATCTTTAAAAAGTTGTCGCTCATTGTCTTTCAAGCCACCAAAAGCGAAGAAAACTAGCGGGCGTAAAACCGCGGGTAGCCGAAAATCCGCGGCTGATGGAAATCGCCTGGATACTGGTCTCAGCTCTATCTCAGTATTAGAACAGTCGGGTGAGATAGATGGACTCGCTGCCTTGGGACGTGACTATTACCTGCTTGTGATTCGTCAGCTTGAGCGTCAGATCACAGCTTATCGATCACTGCTCGCGCAACTGACCAAAGAATATGAGGCCTTGACTGAAGAGGTGAACAAAANAAGAATCGCCGAATGCTTTCAGTCATTCATGTTTTGCCCATTTATCGCATTTTCTTTGTACCGTGATTAGCTCTGATCATTCCTCAACTGTTCTCTTTCTCTCCGCACGATATGATAAGTTTCGTTACAGATGGTTCAACTTTACGCAGATAGATTAACTGAGGCGTAAATTCAACTGTGAATGAGTGTATTCCATTACAGAACATCTTGTGAAATGTTGAGATGAAGTGGTAAATGAGAGGGTTGTGTTACCTTTAGACGAGAAACAGGTTCACTGTCGTGTGACTTGAAACCACACGCTGTTTGGTTTACTTCCGCAAATCTCGAAGGTTCTCAATAGTACACAGATCTTTTTCCACCTTGTGTGATGGAATGGGTACATTCGGATTAAGGATCGTTTAATATTAGGAGAAACAATGGATATATTTTTGGTGGATTCTTTATTGTTTGTAGCATGCTCATGACGCAGCTGATCACATCAGTTTAGGTGAAGTACTCTGACGATGGCTCCCGACCTAAAC